AACCCCAAATCCCAGCAGGGCCCTGCACCCAGGCCCTCTGCAATAAACCCCAAGTTCCACGACCTGGCCTCGAAGATCTCTCGTCTCCATCCGTCCTGACCATGCTACCCCCATCAATCCTACACCTCCCCACCCCAGGGACAATCCCACCCATGCCCAGCCCCACAGGAGGTGCTGGAGCTGCTCCCAGCAGAGCAGGGCAGAGTTATCCCCCTCAAACCCAGAGTTGGGGTGTGTGCCCTGCACGCATCCATCACCCCCAGAGCCTCTGACAGCTGATTTACAGGGCTGGGGGAGGCAGTGAGGAGCCTGTTCCTGCTGCATCTTTACCTTCAGAACTCTCTGGTTGGCTCCTGCCTGCCCAGGTGCTGTGGTTTGGGTTTAACCTCTCCATGCCCAGCTCTCACGGGCACGTGTTGAGGCTTTGTGGTCGTGTCTTGCTGAGAAAATCTCCTCAGGGAGCTCTGGGCCGCTTTCAGAGCTGAGCTTTTTGTTGAATTATTGTCCAACCAAACAAAGAATGTAAGTCTTTATTTCATTATTTTGTTTTGCTGGTTCAGTCTGTGCATTGAGCATCTCCCAGGGGCTGGGAGAGACTGTGTGAGGGTGGAAGTGAGCAGGGGCAGAGCTTGGAATGATGCTCTGCAGGGAGCTGACACCTGTGAGTGCAAAGATTTCTCATGTTTTGGCCTCTGCCCCACCTGGATGAGGGCAGGAATTGTGGGCAGCCTCAGGTGCTCCATCACCACACTGATCTGGGGCTGTGCTGCAGGATTTGCTGTAAAATCTGGCAAAGAAAGGATTTTACACTGGCAAAGAAGGGATTTTACATCCTTCTGCAAGCACTCAGGGCTTTGCCAGCTCCGTGGCTGCAATCCCACCCTCCTCACCTGCAGATGCCCTGGTTTTTTTGTGATTTTCCCCCTGCCAGGAGCTCAAATCTGCCTGGTGAAAGGTTCTGCTCAGGGTGAGCCAGGACAGAGCCTACCTGTTGTCTGCAGAGTGCAGGGTGGTGGGAAATTCAGCACCGTGGATTATTATTATTATTTCACTTGGAAAGCATTAGTCATGCTGGAAGTGCTGCAGGCTGGTGGGGCTGGGAAGCCTCCAGTTTGTTGTTATTATTGGTGGGTGTTTTTTTTCACTGCAGGCTTTGAAGTTTGCAGCCTCCTCAAGCGTGGAAATGGGTTTGTAAGGAGATGTTGGCTGAGTTGTTTGCTGGAAGCAGACAGGGAGCAGCAGGGCTCGACCCCCATTCCTCCAGGGCTCTGGGAGCTCATTCTCCCTTGGGAAGGGCTGTTG